CACACACACACACACACACACACACACACACACACACACACACACACACACACACACACACACACACACACACACACACACACACACACACACACTTATCGAGTAAGCCTCATTGACTTTGTAAATCGCTCCTCCACCCTGACTCATCTGATTTTCTCTGCTCATGCTGGGAATGTTAACCTCCTAAACTAGGTGAATTGGGGCCTCAAGCGAGGGACAAACACACTGATAATCAGGCCCAATTTGAGAATTTTGTCTCCACTCTGACCCAAGTCAAGAAAGACGCGATTATCAGATGGCTCTGAAAGATTATCGGGATTGTACCGTGGTGTGGGGGTGTTAAGAGGAATTTTCCCTCCTTAATCTGCTCAGAAAACCTACCAAAAATCAATCATCAATCATTAAGTTTCGAAAAGATTATCCTGCGTAATTATTCTGTGGTATGGGGAGTTTTTATTCCTTAACCTCCACAGAAGAATCAGGACCAACAACAACAAAAACCTCTTCAACATTTCCTTATGTGTGTAGACAACACCTCGCGGGGCCGAAGCACGGACTTCTAACTGCAAAGTAGAACTGACATAGTCTTTGTCCAAAGTCATGGGCTTCATCCTTCAAAAGCTGCAGTTTTTGGAGTGCATGACAATACTTGCGGCGCGACCGAACAAGGTTTCCAAATTCTAGAAAGACAATTTGCAGGCTGTGTCCTTCGACGCTTTCAAAGGCTCCTCCTCATGTAGCCTGCGTGGATCACATAAATCGCGGCGAATTAGAACAAGCTTAATGTGAATTTGGACACTACCGAAAATGCGGCAGAAAATGCAACCTTGGGAGGACCCAGACTGTGAATTTGGACACTACCGAAAATGCGGCAGAAAATGCAACCTTGGGAGGACCCAGACTGTGAATTTGGACACTACCGAAAATGCGGCAGAAAATGCAACCTTGGGAGGACCCAGACTGTGAATTTGGACACTACCGAAAATGCGGCAGAAAATGCAACCTTGGGAGGACCCAGACTGTGAATTTGGACACTACCGAAAATGCGGCAGAAAATGCAACCTTGGGAGGACCCAGACTGTGAATTTGGACACTACCGAAAATGCGGCAGAAAATGCAACCTTGGGAGGACCCAGACTGTGAATTTGGACACTACCGAAAATGCGGCAGAAAATGCAACCTTGGGAGGACCCAGACTGTGAATTTGGACACTACCGAAAATGCGGCAGAAAATGCAACCTTGGGAGGACCCAGACTGTGAATTTGGACACTACCGAAAATGCGGCAGAAAATGCAACCTTGGGAGGACCCAGACTGTGAATTTGGACACTACCGAAAATGCGGCAGAAAATGCAACCTTGGGAGGACCCAGACTGTGAATTTGGACACAGCCCATACTTTCCAAATAAGCAAACAGCTAGCCGAGCTTCTTCTATGTCGTCTTTATATTTTCTGGCAGTCTATGGCACAGTGCTGCCTCTTATAGTTCGGTCTTGGTACTACAACAGAGAGCTGGTTTGGGGAGGAGACTCGCGATTGTCAGGTGAAGATATCGACGAGAGCAAGAAGAACGCACATGTTGATTTTTTTCCTGTCATGTTCTTGGTCTCTCATATTAAAATTTAAAAAAATTGTTCCGGCACTCAAATACCTAAAAACAAAGCCTCGTAAAAACTATTTGTTAGTTTAACCCTGCTGCTCTAATCGTTGACAAGAAGATTCTAAACGTCCTGTCTCATTCTGGATAAATTTAGCATGCTGACAATCGGCGAGGGTGAGGGAAGGGACAGCAAGTGGAGAAAAGTCAGCACAAATCCTGAAAAGTGAACATCAGTTTCAGTCACAGTTTTCAGCGTAAAGAGTGACGGGAGGAGGGGAGCTGTTGTCGAGCAGTCAGGATATCGAGTTGAGAGAAAAGAGAGGCTTTCCTGTCAAACAGTCCTGACAGCTAAATGACAAAATTGCTTGTTGGTTCAGGTTGGTGTTTTCTCGGAAAAGGGAG